GAACACCCATTTGACATATTTTGAAGAAGCCTTGAGTTTTGATCATAAAAAAATGAAATAATACATATGTATAAATAATGTGACCACTTTTAGGGAAAATTAATATAACCCTGGTTTATATTAAACTCATTCAATCTTGGTTTAGTTTTCACTTGTCATTAATGTAGAAGGACAATGTGAAATGATTTTTTGATGTGAAAAATTAAAACACAGAATAAAAAATGATCTGTGTAGTCAGCCCCAAAATGTACTAATTGAAAACAAACTCTGAAATAAGAATGAATTTATAGGATGGCACAGCCCTGATTCTATCTCTCATCTTTGTGATGGCTATTTTACATTAAATTTATATTACTTATTAATTCAACAAATATTTTTGCACACCAACGTGCCAAGGTATATCATGATGCTAGTATGACAAAAATGTTTAACAATATGGGAATGAAATCACAAAAAGAAAACATCAGTAATGATTCTTAAATGTTGATGCCCCCAAAACTAATAATAATGACTTCAGTGTATATACTCAGATCATATTTCATTGAGAGAAATCCTAGAGCAAGAAAATATTATACTGAATTATTCATTTTACATTGGGGGAGTTATAAGTAATATTCATTCTGAATATGACAACTTTGAAAATAAATTTAATCACATATAATATCTTAAAATCTATGGTATAAACACTAAATCATTTAAAACAAATGTGAAAGCCAATATATACCTATATAATTAATATGACACTTAATGAAAATAATTTTAAATGGCATGAATGCTAATACATAAAAATAACATACCAAATATCAACACACATAAATTAATTAAACTTCCCATTAAGAGAGAACACCTATCTGATTTGGCTAAAAGCAATACATGTTTTAAGAATATACTACTTATAACAGAAACACTGAAAGCTGAAAAGTCAAAAAATAAAGTGATATATAAACACAATTTTGATACAGAGTATTTAATTGTTTTTGTCTGTGATGTGTACAAGAACAGATACAGGTAAATAATATGCCCAAATATCTGTACTAGTTTGTCTTGTAGCTGATTTTCATTTTATGATTTTAATTTTCTGAATTTTCACTTTTTCCATGAAGATATATATTCTAAGATTAGAAAAAGAGAGGTGAAGGTTTTATTTTAAAAAACAAGGATCTCCAGATCATTTACTATTTTGTTTCTGTAAAATATTTTTCTTCTTGCTTGTCTAATTAACTAGTCAGGTAAGCACTTTGTTATTTTAGCAAAGATGAATAAATCTGGGAATTAATGACTATGAACAAGGGAATATTCTTAGATATTATGACCTTGACTTTAATGTGTCTCTAGAAACATGGGATATTAAATGAGCTGGAACTTGTTTATTTTTCATCATTTGAAGGCATATTTATTCTTACCTGATCTACTTGTTCCGCAAGCTCTGGAGATTTATAATTCTAATTTCTTATCAGTTGACAGCTTTGAAATGTTTATTTCATTTGAAAAGGGTGCATACATTGGAAATGTTAAAATACAACAGAAAATATCGTCATGATTCCAGCTTGAATTTAAATTGTAAAACTGTCATTTTAATCATATTTTATAAGACTATATAAACCAGTCATCAGCTTCCCCTCATCCTCCGATTCCTGTGTCCACACAGCACTACTTTCCAACTGGGGCAAAGGATTCTTTTGCTTCAGAGCATTTTTGATCATTTATAATCTCCCTTACCCAGAGCTAATTGCTTAAAAATCCCTTACATATTTTCCTTTTGCTAAGTTCCACTTGAGGCTTACCATTGCTTAGAGACTTATTTTTGCATCTCTTCTCTCTGCATGAATTCTTCCTGGCCCCTCTCCACTCTATTTCTGACATATTTTAATTCCTTGTCTCTTTTTAATGTTGAGAGATTAAATTCAGCCTTAGCTTTGCTCCACATACATGCATATCCCAATTCATGCCAAAGCTCAGCAAAGCAAAGGGGCTTCTAATGAACAGCAGTATCTGAATGAGAAGCCATCTTATTAAGCATATATTTTGGAGTCTCATTCTGCTCTCCAAACACAAATACTTCTTCCTAATATGTAGTATGCCCTCTGCAAGTAGAGTTCAAATGAATTAGGGTTTTTCTGTATCTTTACACCAGTTAAATATATCCCAGTGGTGCTAAAAATGTGGTCTCCAGATAACATCAGCATCACCTGTGACCTCATTAGAAATGCAGATTCTTGGGCCCTCGTCCATACCCACTGACTCAGAAATTTAGGAGTTTCTCTGGTGATTCTAATTTTATGCAAAAATTAAGAACTAATGCACATAGACTGCAACAACATAGAAGAAAGTAATATGCATAATCTCAAAATGCATTTCCATGTAATCAGGTCATATTTAAAATGACAGAATAAGAATGGGACAGGGGATGTGGCAGTAGGGGGATTCCTGTATTCAACATCCAGTTCTGGTCATACTCCTGAACCTGCTTCATTCCTCGTTTTGATATCCAATAGCTCCTTGAGCCACTTTGGACTACCCACTCCTTATTCTGCCAATCATATAGTCTACCTTAATTCACTGCTGGATGCCTGCACACCTGGTCTGGATTTAAATCTGCCCCATCCAAACTTTTCCTGTGCTTTCCATGCACAGGGCTCAGACTACTCCAATGTGAGACTCACTTCAAGGTGACTGTTCAAGGTCTCCTTTCACCCTGTCCCTGATTTCCTGTTTCTAGAGCCCCATATCACCTGATATGCTGCTCATTTCAACATTCCAGCATACTTTTCCTAATCTTAATAAAGAATTTTATTCTTGTAAGAATGTAGTGCATGTTCACCACAAACACAAAATGGCCTCCTTTTGCCAGTTCGGTAATAGAGAATTGGTCTTAATTTTAAATATTGTTTGATTTTGTACTTTTCCTCCCTTCCTAGCTAATTACAACTGATGACAGATATGGGCCAGTTGCAAAGAATTTTGAATTTTATCCTTTATGCAATAGTAATAGTTGAAGCATTCAATAACAGAATAGAAACTGTCATGGGGATGAGAGGCTAAGTAAGAGACTGCAAAAATTGCTAATAGTTTGGTCTAGAGTTTGGATGGTAAAGATTTAGGTAAGTGGATACATTTGAAATTTACTAAGGAGAAAAACATTCAGGACTCTGATTTAGACAGAATAACAGGGGAGATGAGGAATGAGGTAGAAGTGCCAAAGACAGTTCTCAGATGTCTGCCTTACGTTAGCAGGTGATGATGGAAGCATTCAATGAAAATAACTACGCTGCAGGGATTGGGTAGGGAATATTGTTATCACTTACTCTTTCTTCTGCAACAACCACCTAATAGGTCTTTGTGCATGTTTTTATTAGAAAGAGACAGTCATACTGTTTTTACTGATTATTCACTAAAGTTTTGACATATTACATAGTAAGCATATAGTTTCTTTAGTTCTCCTCATGAGAAGTCTCTAAGGTAGCTGTTTCTAAGCCAAGGCTCACAGAAAGAAAACCGAAACACAGATTTAAATGGCTTGTTCAAAATCACATAGTAAGTGGTACAATTCAAACTTTAGAGTTCATGCTCTAAATTTTTGTGCATCTGCCTCCTTAAAATACACCTCAATTCCAAAAACATTGAGAATCGGTGTCCATTCATTGTTGCTCAGACTAAATCTGTTATTGGACTAACTTAGTCTAACTCTAATATTGGAGTACTTTCCTGTAGCATGTATCTTTTCTGAGTATTGCTTCTTGTCACCAGTATCACAAAACGTTATCAAACAGTGCTTATTCTATTAGATCCTCTCATGCTGTACTTCATCAATCAAAAACATGTATTTCTGCCCCACATTTTAACACCTGTGAATCAGTATTTCTTAAAATTCATTAGATAAAAAAAGTATTGTCATAATTTAATTGGCAGCAACTTTTTTTCTTAATGGTACACAAAATTGATACATCTTACAACTAACACCATCTTAGATTCTTTGAAATAGACTATATATTTTTTTAATTTCCTGACTTTACAAATTTAGAGATACTCATATAGATATTAAACAAAGTGATATCTTATGTGATTGAGACACTATAAACACATGACCTTAATGTTACCTGGCAAAGGATCATGTTTCCCTATTCAACTATTCCCTCACTCTCTAGAATTATTCATAATTTTCCTCTCTCCTCAAACTTCTATTAATGTGTCTCCTATGTGCATTCTCAATTTTAGTAAGAAAATTGATTAATGAATATTCTGAAATTGCTGAAGTACTCTCTGCTTGCAAACTGTATATTTCTTAGTTTTGGTTCAATATACACTAATATTTTTGTCTTATTAGTTTGTTGTATCAGTTAGAGGAAAATAAAGTCTCCAATGACAGTTACAGATGCTTCTATTTCTTACTTTTATTTTTTACTTGGCATAAATTGATGATTTTAATTTAATTTTTGCTTGGTATATTTAAGGCTATGATTTACATGTATATACTCTTAACATTTTATATTCCTGTGAATTGAAATGTTTCTTACATTTCTTTTATATATATATATATTTCAGCCAAGTATTGACATGATTAGGTTTTAATGTACCATTCACTATTTTCCATTTGTCCCATCTGTTTCTTATTCACTGCTTTTTGCTTTGTTGTTATTTTTCGAGTGTTTTCTACCATATTTTCAACAGTGGATTTTTATAATGGTAGACCCAGAAATTACTAATATCATAATGTAATCCTCACATAATATTTCACGTAAGATATAAAAACTTTAAAACTATTATCTCCATTAAGTTCCCATGTTTTGTGATATTACTGTCACAGACGTCACCTATACATAGGTCATAAATCATGTAGTGTAATACAGGTGGAGCAGCCCTAATCTGAAAATCTGAAATTCAAAATGCTCCAAAATCGAAAACTTTTTGAGAGCTGACATGACATCACAAATGGAAAATTCCACATATAAGTACTTTAACATTCTATTTGATGCACATAATCATTTAAAACACTATATAGGGCCGGGCACGGTGGCTCATGCCTGTAATCCCAGCACTTTGGGGGGCCGAGGCGGATGGATCACGAAGTCAAGAGATCGAGACCATCCTGGTCAACATGGTGAAACCCCGTCTCTACTAAAAATACAAAAAAATTAGCTGGGCATGGTGGTGCGTGCCTGTAATCCCAGTTACTCAGGAGGCTGAGGCAGGAGAACTGCCTGAAGCCAGGAGGTGGAGGTTGCGGTGATCCGAGATCGCACCATTGCACTCCAGCCTGGGTAAGGAGCGAAATTCCGTCTCAAAAAAAAAAAAAACAAACAAACAAACAAAAAACAAAAAAACACTATATAAAATTACCTGTAGGCTATGTTTGTAAGGTGTGTATGAAACTAGATGAATTTTGTGCTTAGACTTTGGTCCCATTTTCAAGATATCTATTATCTATTTGCAAATGTTATAAAATCTGAAACAATCTGAAATTTGAAACACTATTGGTCCCAAGCCTTTTGGATAAGGGATACTCAACCTGTATATACAATTGTATTAATCTACCAGGCTGCCATAAAAAAAATAAATAGCATAGACTGGGTTGCTTAAATAATAGAAATCCATTCTCAAATCATGGAGTCTGGAAAGTTCAAGATCACAGTTGCATCCTAGCTAAGTTCTGGTAAGGGCTCTTCTTCCTTATAGATGGCCACATATCTCACTGTCTCCTCACATAGCAAAGAGAGAGGGAACAAGCTCTTTGATGTTTCTTTCTCTTCTTATAAGGCCTCTAATTCTACCTTATCTAATCCTAGTTACCTCTCCATCTCTAAATACCATGACTTTGAGGCATAGTTTCAGTGTACAAAGAAAGACATGGTGGAAAGTGAACATTTCACTCTACAGAAACAATATAGTTTAACACAGCTCTTCTTTGCTTTAATCAGTCAATTGTTACTTGCATAATTTAAGAACAGGGATAAAAGTGTTGTTTGTTTGCTAACATATTTATCATCTCTGCTATTTATTTTACCAGTAGATCTGAATTTCTACTTAGTATTACTTCCTTACAACTTAATTTCATTTGGCTTATCATGTTGTATACTTGTTCTCCCAACAAACTCTCTTTTCAACTTAGCTGAAAATGTCTTTATTTTAAGCAATTGCCTTATGGTAATTTTTACAGGATATAGAATTTTAGACTAAGCCTTTTTTTTTTAATCTTTCAGTACTTTAATTATATCATTGATTTTTTTTCTTTCTGATGAGAAATCAGCCATCATTTGTTTTTGTAATACTACTATATATAATTTGTCTTATTTTCCTCCTTTGTCTGCTTTTAAAATTGTCTTCTTATATTTAGTTTTCAATGTGTTTGTCTTTACCTGGCAAGCATTTTTTCTAAATCTCTTAATTCTAAAAGTTAACACTTTTAATCAAATGTAAAAATTTTTCAACATTATTTATTTTTTATTTTTATTTTTCTGACTCATTCTATCTTTTCTCCATTTCTGGGTTTATACTGTTTGGAATAGTTTCACAGGAAACCAAACATCAGTCCATTTTTATTTCAGTCTTTTCTCTGTTCTTCAGCTTACGTACTTTTGATTGAATTGTCTACAAGTTCACTGACCTTTACTTCTGGCATGACCAATGTATTCTTCCTCAAATGTAGTCATTTTCCTAAATTATGATAAGGTAGTTCCAAGTTCTATAATTTCCATGTGGTACCTTGTTTTGAGTTTTCATTTCTCTGCTAAGAATCCTCAGCTTTTCATACATTATGTCTATATTTTCCATCATAGCTCTTACATGTTTGTAATGGCTGTTTTAAAGTCCTTGTGCTAATTTTATCATCTGAATAATTTTGTTGTTGGTTTTTACTGGCTGTTCTTTCTATAGATTGGTCACATTCTTTTTCCGTGTCTAGTATTTTTACTTGTATGCTGGAAAATGTACATTGTATAGATACTTTATTATGTTGTCTTCCTTTAAAGGTTATTGTGTTTAGTTACAGCAGGCAGCTTAATTATTTGGGGATTCTCTTGATTTTGTCAAAGCATTGGCTTTATGCTTTGTAAGAAGGAGTGTATTTTGATTCATCTTTAGCTGTATATCATGACCCTCATTCTGGTGCATAGTCCTTACTCTTAAGGTATAGTTTTTATGGTTTCTCAGCTGGATGCCTGAGGTACTTAGCAATTCTCTCCACATCTGTTAACCATAAACAACTTCTTCTATTTCTGAGCTACTTGCAGCTTGTTAGAGCTTGCTGAGGTTTGTTCTCTGAGTGTACATGCCAGCCATGGACCAAACACCAGAGAGAAATACCTTCACGGGCCTCAAATGCCTTCTTCTGCTCAACAGCCATTCCTCATGTACCCCACTCTGTAGTCACCTCAGATGCTTCAGACTTTTGGGCACTACATCCATGCTATACTGATAGAGCTCCCCAGGGAGAAAGTCAATAGGAACGCGAGGCATAATTTGTGTTTTACTTCTTTGAAAGATCACTGATTTCTCTTGTTTGTTGTCAAATGCCTGGAGTATGAAGATTAGTTTGATACAAGTCAATTTATCAAGGCTGAGAGAGAAGTTCTGAGTCTTCTCTCAAATAGTATTTTTTCAAACTGTCATCTCTCATGCCTTTGTTTTAAATAGTGACTACCCTACCAATCCATAATTTTCTAATTTTCTGATTCTAAGCTTTTGGAACTTTTTCATAGACTGGTTCCCTAGAAGGAGAGGCTGAGTTGAGAATTCTGTTAAAGTGATAATATTGAGGGAGGAGTCTCAGGAGAGGGCATGGGTAAAGCAGGCTAGAAAAGGGAGCAAGTCAAGGAAGAATATGGTTCTGCTGAAAACTAACTTCAGCCTGGTCCTAAGGGAAGTTCTATGACATAGAATAAACCATAGAGATATTCTCCACCTTGAAGCAAGAGCTCTAGGCTTACGTGCCCTCTTTTCAGTTTGGAATGACTGTTCTGTGCAGTAGAGGTGGGACTGTTAGGATAGAGATTTATAATCCCCCAGAAAACTTTGCTCCTATTTAGCTGAGGTCAATTTCTTCAGTCAAAGAGGAGCCTCTAAGGCTTTAGCAATGAACATTCACCTTGCTGGTGAAGGGATGTTGAGTAGAAAAAAGACGTTACAGTCAACTATCATTTTGGACACCAAATAAATAATTTTTAATGTAGTAGAATAGATTTTAATTAAAGGCAACACTAGAATTTAGTGTTCGATACTTTCATATAAGCAGCAGTCTTTTCAGTTCTAAGCTTAGAGGGTTGAGTTAGTTGAAAAATTAGAGTGTTTTCAAATATATCTTGCAATATATTTACAGACCTCCCTATAAACCACATCTCTAGTTAGTCTGAGAACTAAATTATTCTGGTCAAAACTGCTTGTTTTATCTAAAAATACCTAAAATATCTAATTTTGTGTATTAATTATTTTAAATATCAGGGAAAGTTTTACATTTATTTTTAAATTAAGTTTTGAATTTGGATAATTTCCCAATCTGAGGTTAAACTATCCTAAAAAAGTGATAACTTTAATTTAAACTTAGCAATTCATATTTTTATAAGGATAGTAGAATCATCAATTTTATTTGTCTATAAACATGTATTGCCTCTGTAAAGAAAGAAATGATCTCTAGAGAAACTTTAGTCATTATCTTCCAAGTGGTATATAACTTTCTATTAGTTTTCCCATTATGATTATCAACATCGTTGGTAATATATGGAATAATCTACTTATAATTTTCCCATGTATTTTTAGTAGTTGTGAGTATAAATCTTTCTAAATACAATTTGGTATTGAATATTTTGGAAAAATCTCAGCTAACTTTTTGCCTTTAACATCATAAAATTGAAAGTATTTGTTGAAAATAAATGATTTTTGTTGATGTTTGCTATTTACTGAATGGTCACTATGTTGCATGCAATGCTTTTCTGTTTTATTGTTTCCAGTAGAAATGGAAATCACTCTCTTCAACTTTAGCCAGCAAAAAAGAATTCTCACCAAAAATGTAGGAATTTATGCATACTTAAAATCTTCTGAGGATGATCTATAATGCCTATTTTCAATTAAAGTACAGGAAATACCCTGTATAATGCATATCCTGTCAGAAAAGTGACATGGGAAATGAATGCTAACATTTTATGAGGCTGCTGCATCACCTCATGTTGAAAAGGTAGGTCAATCAGTCAGTCTTTGAAAAAAAAATGCAGTGATTCATTTTAAGTAAAACACTGCATGACATGTTTAAAAGGAAATAAAATAGGGAAACCTACATCTTATAGCTTTTGCATTACAATTGGTGGCATCCTGGCATGGTAAGAGCCAGAAAAAAAAGAGGAAAAAGGTACTTCTTTCAAATATCGTAGTCAGAAGAAATAGCCCTGATAAAAAGAGAAACTAATGAGATTTTGAATAAAAGAAAACCTACAAAGAAAAAGCGAGGAGGGGAAGTGACTTTCCTTATTATCTACTTAGGATATAAATAGATTCTTCATAGAGTAAAAAAGTCATCAACCTATCAAATGAGAGAAAAAGTATGTAAAGCAAATTTCACAAAATCAGCAAGTCTTCACACACCCTCAGACTCGAAAATATAACTCTAGAAATTTTCAGATTTAAAGACTGTATAGGGCAGACCGTTACATACCTGTTAAGAGGATTCACAAGATGGGCACTAGGTTTAGCCCTACAGCTTCTGAGATTTACATTGAGAGCTTTTTGCAAACATTAACCCACTTCCCAATGAGAAGTCTTGACAGATTCAAGAATAAAAATCAAGAATTAGTCAATTGTCGTTCTCACTCTCCCCGTGGTAATTCACTTGGCATGCACATAGAGCTTAGCATGAAAGACGCTCTGAAGAGCACTTGAAATTGAAATGTTTGAAATTTCAAAGGAGTTAAATGAAGCTGAGTTAGCCTGGTCTCATTTTCTTGGTCAGTAAAGCTTTTCAGAGAGTGAAAGCCTGTATTTCAGCAGTGTATTCTATGTAAATAAAAGAATCTTCACATAAGACATCTGTTTTAATTAAAGTTGAAAAATGAAGTGCTTCATTGAGAAAACAAAGCTATCTCTTTTCTCAGCTTTCTATTCTGTAGGTATTTCCCAGAATTTAAAATCATAAACGTTTAAGTGGGAACAGCAATCCATTAGCAGATTTCTCCAGACATTTGAAATATTGAGGGTCATTTATATTTGACTATGCTCACATGGCAAGTGTTCAGTGAACTCTTTAAGGAGCTCAAGTCTCTTCTAAGAATTCTGCCAG